TTACAAACCTATCCGAAGCAGCGCCCTCTGAACCTACACTACAAACCTATCCGAAGCAACACCCTCTGAACCTAAATTACAAACCTATCCGAAGCAGCGCCCTCTGAACCTACACTACAAACTTATCCGAAGCAACACCCTCTGAACCTAAATTACAAACCTATACGAAGCAACGCCCTCTTAACCTACACTACAAACTTATCCGAAGCAGCGCCCTCTGAACCTACACTACAAACTATCTGAAGCAACACCCTTTGAACCTAAATTACAAACCTATCCGAAGCAACGCCCTCTTAACCTACACTACAAACCTATCCGAAACAACGCCCTCCTCCACAAAGTAAATGTTGTGGTTACTAAAGTAAAACCTCCGAGTCAAAAAGTTATTGTGATGAAGCTGGACTTATTGCCTTTTAAATATAATCAACAAGGCTTTTGTCAGCATCAAAGGGACTGACACGTGTGACTACTAAACTGTATATTTTTGTAAATAGGGGCTCACACGTGTGCCTAACAGACTGCTTATTTATTTATTTAACAGCGGCTGACCAATGTGATTACTAGACTGTTTTTTGTTTTTTTTAAATAGGGACTAACCAGTGCGCTTACTAGACTTTTTATTTTTAAATAGGGACTAACCAGTGCGCTTACTAGACTTATTATTTTTAAATAGGGGCTGACTAGTGCGCTTACTAGACTGTTTATTTTTGTAAATAGAGGCTCACCTGTGTACCTAATAGACTGTTTCTCTTTTTTTTAAATAGAGGCTGACCAGTGTAACTACTACTGTTTTTTAATAGGGACTGACCATGTACTTACTAAACTGTTTATCTTTGTAAATAGATTGACCCGTGTGCCTAACAGACTGTTTATCTTTGTAAATAGATTGACCCGTGTGCCTAACAGACTGTTTATCTTTGTAAATAGATTGACCCGTGTGCCTAACAGACTGTTTATCTTTGTAAATAGATTGACCCGTGTGCCTAACAGACTGTTTATCTTTGTATTAATAGAAGCTGACCAGTGTGCTTACTAGAATGTTTGCCTTTGTAAATAGGGACTGCCCTATGTGCCTACTAAACGTTTTGTCTTTTTTTTTAATAGAGGTTGACCTGTGTGTTTACTAGACAGTTTATTTTTTGAAAACAGGGACTGACCCGTGTGCCTACCAGACTGTTTATTTTTTTTAAACAGGGACTGACCCGTGTGTCTACTAGACTGTTTTATCTTCATTTGTTTATCTTTGCTTCTCCCCGTATCTTCCTAGAGTTTGAACTCGATGAAGGATCAATTTTACGTTCACAGATGGACATGTGTGTGTGAAAGGGAAACTGTAATAAAACTGTTGCAACTGGAAAAATTATTCTTTATAAAAAATGAAACTGGTGATAGAAAATTCTCCTTAAGTGGGTTAGGACTAGTGATGTTTCATTACGACTCGTTTCTATGCAGGTCCGTTAAATAAATTATAAGGTTCATATAAAGAAACATTTGAAACGGATTGTTATTAAATCTAATTTCCTGATAGTAAGACACAGTATACAACTAGATAAAGGTACTTTTAAAATATAATATATATATATCACTCTACACCGCGTGATTGTATGGATTTTTTATATTGGATTTCATAAAAGAATTTTTCAGGATAACATATTTAATGAAACAACAGCTATTAAAATAAGAAACTTAATCACAATTTATTTTTAAAAAACTGTGTTAACTCTGTAGATTTGCAAACATTATTGGATTTGAATTTCGGCCATTGTGTTTTGTCTTCCAGAACAACCCCCGAATTTCCTTTTTACCTTCAACAAAAAGTACGTACATCCGGGCTCTTCACTTTCTTTGAAATGCTCAGCATCTGGCAATCCACTGCCACAAATAACATGGACACGAGATGGCACTGCCGTACCAGAAGCTTATCACATCCGAGTCGGGGATTATGTTAGTGGTACCAACACGGTGAACAGCTATATTAACATTAGCACAGTAAGTGTACAAGATGGCGCCACCTACGCCTGTATCGCGACAAATGGCGCCGGTCAAGCTTACCACTCTGAGCGTGTGGATGTCTATGGTCCACCATTTGTCAGACCGATGGCCAATCACACTGTGCTTGGTGGAGGGACTGCTATTTTCCATTGTCCAGTAAGCGGTTACCCGCTTAAAGAAATAATATGGAAGAAAGGTGAGAACATAATATCTGTTCTCTACATTCAAGTCTTATAGAGTGAACGAGTGGAGATGGGGAACTTACCCCCCTAATAATCATTGTATATCTTAATGTAAAATTTTGACATGATTATTAGTTCGGAGTTACGTTATTGTTTTTAATAACACGATCTACATTCGATTCTTGTAGAGTGAACGAGTGGAGATGGGGAACTTACCCCCCTAATAATCATTGTATATCTTAATGTAAAATTTTGGCATGACTATTAGTTCGGAGTTACGCTATTGTTTTTAATAACACGGATCGTGAGTATTAGTTCGGAGTTACACTATTGTTTTTAATAACACGGATCATGATTATTAGCTCGGAGTTACGCTATTGTTTTTAATAACACGCATCATGATTATTAGTTCGGAGTTACGCTATTGTTTTTAATAACACGGATCGTGAGTATTAGTTCGGAGTTACACTATTGTTTTTAATAACAAGCATCATGATTATTAGTTCGGAGTTACACTATTGTTTTTAATAACAAGCATCATGATTATTAGTTCGGAGTTACACTATTGTTTTTAATAACACGA